ATGTATTATGAATTGATGAGCAAGTCCTTATATCTTTGAGCGATCTGGTCTGGTGTATAGTCCGTGTAATACCCTTTTCCCACAAGCAGACCTTCCTCTCTCCCAAGCCTCTCGATCAGTCCCTGAACTTCATCTCCTCCCACTTGGCTTGGATTCAACAAGTTACATGCAACCTCTATCACTCCTTCCCCGTGCACCAGCGCCATTGTCTGCACTGAAGCCAAGCCACCTCCTCTCTCGCTCGCCTTCCTTGCCACTCTCCTCACTGCCTTGAGATCGCTTGACATGACTGGCACGTTGTAGTTACTCACCCATCCGCACGCCCCAATCGCCACTACCCCTTTGGCTTTGCTCACCTCTCGTGGCCCTGCGTCTGGCTTCACTGGCACCACCTCCAGCTCCAACCCACCTGCCCATTCATGTCCATCCCTGTTCGCCTTGAAATACCCCAGCTTCCTTCTGATCGAATCCAGCGTGCATTGCTCTTCCTGTGCTGCTCCATAAAGATATGTAGGAACTGCACCAGGGAGACTCATATCTTTTAATTTCACATATCAACAACGATTAAAGACTTTCATGGCCTATACGAGGATTTGAGACACTAAAGACAGAACATCACTCTGCCCTATCACAAATTACATATCAACAAACAAATAACAATGCCCTGGCTCTTAGCTACTTTGTAACTCGTCTTTCTATTTAGGTACTAACCTCGAAGAATGGAGCCGATATCCATTGCTAAGGAATTGGCAACGGCGGAAACTTGTTCGATAGAGGTTTGAGACAGGGGGTGAAAGCATATGTGATCGACCACACCAAGGCGGGGATGGGATCCACAATGCGACTCGAGACTGATAGTGTCGAGAGCAGTCTTGACCATTGCAAAGACCGCATTCTTGAGGGGAGAGGATGAGCCGCGAGGAAGAGTGGAGACAAGAGTGTAACCAACCCTGCCATAAGCAGAGTCTTCAAACTTGTTGACGATTGCAGCTGGTGGAAAAGGCTTTGCAGCTCTCTCAATGGCTTCAAGGGCAGTCTTATTCCGCGCTTCGGATATGTAAACCTTGCAGCAACCAAGCATTTCTCTCAGCATCTCCGACCACCGCCACCACCTACACATATAGGTAGATAGATGCAGGTGTGAGTGCGTTTGCTATATGTCAATGGAGGAGGCTAAAAGAAGGTGTGGCATTATCCACCACATTTTAGGTTTGTGGCCAGCATTCATTCACCAATAAATAAAGCTTATATTGCATATACACTCTCAGTGTAATTTGAATACAATACATACAAGAAGAAAGATTTGTCTTGTTCATCAGAAGTCGAGATTGGAGGATGGCTTGGGGAATCCGAATTGTTTCTTGGATACGCCGAGAGATGCGCAGATGATGTTGAATTTGATTCTGAGATCATCCTTGATCTCGTCTTTGGATTCGTCCTCGGGATCCAAGAGCGGGAACTTGGCGAGCAGGATTTGGAAATCGTTGAGATGCTTGTGGAGCTGAGGAGAGAATCGATTGGGATCGAGACGGAGAGCAGAGTTCCAGAGAGAAGAGCAGCCATTGTAGAATCCGAGGAGCTCGCCTGTCTCGAAACCAAGTTTGAGACCAAGATAACGAGCGTCTTCCCGACCAGAGACAAGACCAGCTTCGTAACCCTCCTCGAAGCCTTCTTGAAGAAAGGTATCCTCAAGATGCACAATACAATCCAAAAAGTTTTCTTCGTTGTTGGAATTCATCATAGGAACTGGTTGCTTCTATGTTGACAAAGATTGAAAATCGGATTGAACATAAGAAAAAAAAGGCATCTGACATGGAGACAAGAGATACGAAACTCACCTAACCAGTGCGGTAGATAGGGATATGATGATGCAGCAGGAAAATGTCTTTTCAGATTTAATTTAGGGTAAAGGATAATGAACTCAGCAGGGCCCTATTGGGCCAGGTCAGAAAACTTGCGGCCCCTAGCGACATGGGCCTTCCGTATCATAATTTAAAAAGCATTGCAAGTTTTCGTAAAGAGAAAGAGAACCGTAAGCCAAATTTGTTAAATCAATTGCTTTTTAACAAAAATAAAAGAAAAAAAGATTGTAGAGTATCTCTCAAGTCACTTAAAAATGCGCACAGATCCGACGGCTGAAAACCTAACACCCTTAATATCCAAGGGCTTAAAACATATCCCTTAATTTTTTTTTTTAGGCATAGGATTACTCCGACTACGGAGATTGTTACTCCGACGAACCTGCAGATTACTCCCATATCAAAACCCGAAATTTCATCTTTTTAGTGGTTAATTAATGGAATGGATCATCTAATCTAAATCTAAGCACCACCTATTGTTAATTGTTGTATGAAGCTGTTTCATCTTCGGAACTTGGAGGACTACCCAATTCCTGCAAGTGCACATCTTGTGTCTATTCATCGCTATCTCAAGTTAGCTCTCTTCACCGTATGGTTAATTTTCTGCAAATCTTTGCGCATGGTGGCACACTCAACCACGACGAACGTGCCTTTATCTTACACACACCAAAAGGTCCTATACTTAATCGGTGGTTATACTTGATTATATGTAAATAAATAATCTATATTTCTGTTCCTTCAGGGGCTCAAATGCTACACAAATGTGTGTGGACATGCTTCGTTTCGTAAGCCCATTGTATACGGCTAAAACTGTTTTTGTGGTAATCGCAAAACAAAACCCGAATAGGCTACTTCCGCTTTTGCAATGGAGATATGACGAAACTGTTCTCCTTGTCTCTCACACGGCACAAGATGATGATCTTTTTAACTCTGCAGACTCAGTATTTAAGCATACACAATTTCTAGGTGGAGGAAAGAGTAGGCCACCAAGTTCTACTTCTAGTAAGACCCCTCTCGAAATTGTTTGTCATGCTAAAATAATAGCAGTTAATGNTATCATATCGAACCCGTCCAAACGGTTGAGACTGGCGTATTCTGGGACGCAAAGGATTGCCCATTCCCTCTTGNTTGGAGTCATGATAAGATCTNTAAGAATGTCAGATCAGCTTTTACGTCTCAGTATGGGGTTAGTGATAACATGTCAGTCGCGCATATGTTGATGAGACGAAAGAGTCTTTCAGTGGTGAGTTTCTGTGGAACATGAGGCTCTGGGAATCCAGATTCAACTTCTTTCCCGGAGGTGAATTCCTTTATCTCTAAACACACTCTTTATCTTTCTCTTTTCTTATATATATATATACGAATGTAATCTGTCTATGTCTCATATGTTTTCCTGGGGATGGATGATAGACCCGCCAGACATGAGAGAATGTTAGTTGACGTTCTCTTATGGTTAATTGACCGTCCGTATCTAGCACATTTGATCATAGTAGGTAAACTCAACAAAGACGTTTTCGATTTCCTTGCAAGTTTGGAGGAGAATGGTTGTTACTGTGTAATTCCAAAGAAGGAAGGGCAGCCTGCTATTAGATCAAGTATACACTTTTGGTTGCAAAATCGAAAGCGAAAGCCCACATCCGCCGGAGAGGGGTCGGAAGATCAGGGCTGATATCTCATTAAACCTAATTTTGTTCTCTTAAGAACATTTGAAGCTTTGGGATATTCAATGTGGTACAAATGAGATTCCAATCAACATTGACCATTCTGTGATTATTCTAGTAAAAAAGTGGAATGGTTTAATCTTTTCTAGATTTTTACCTTTCATATTAATAATGAGATTTTTCTACAAACACAAGTCTCTATCTAGACATAGTTGGAGCATGTAGCTTGTTTACCAAGAAACAGCTAAAAGGAATCAGAGAGTTTGTGAAAAAAGAATCAGAGAGTTTGTGAAAATAGAAATTCGCCCCCAACTTACAAATATGATGAAAGATGAGTATATTCCAACGAGAAAAGATATGGATGAAAAAAGAATACGAATCCAATCTGGCCTGGTTTTTTGCCAAACCGNTTTATCTACGGTTTGGCTATGGTCTTCTCTCATAATCCAGTTTCANNTCTTCCAAACGATTTGATATCTGTTGAGGAGTGGACTTATACATTTGCTTAGATACATTATACTCCGCGGAGGAGGAGTTCTGGTTGCGGACATGAGAACATCCACTAGGTTCTGTGATANATAGCAGCAGAAACAGAGGAAGGTGATCCATGTAAAATGTCTTTATACGTTTCAAATATAAATTTAGGGTAAAGGATAATAAACCTGGGCCTTCTTGGGCCAGGTCAGACAACNAGCGGGCCAATATAATTGCGTGGTATTCTTTTCTTTTTTTGTTCAGAATTGGGTTTGGTGTTCTCACTTGTCAACATGAGACATTACGTCTTTTGGTAGTATTATTTATTTAGGGGGTATCCTACTAAAGAGCATTGAATGGTGAAAGCCGTAAAAAGCAAGTGGGGGTTGAGTTTTGATTTATTCCTTACTCCCGTTCATGTGGCTTTCTTTCTGCTTCTACTATTAACTCTTCTTACCAAACTTAACTAGTTGTGTGTTTCAATTCAAAAGAGTTGCCATTAGTCAGATAACAAAACACTAGCTAGGGTACACAAGCTACATACAATGGCAAGTAGCTTGATACATCAAAACAAATGAATTAACAAACAAAAAAAACAAGACGTTNGTTGGTTCATCAGTGGTAAGATTTGAGGACAGCGCCGCAGAAATGACAGACGATGGCCTTCCAAGCTTTGCGGTAAAAGGGGACACCACAGAATCTAGTGGAGGTTCTCATGTCCGCAACCACAGCTCCTCCTCCGCACCTCGAGCATAGCCCGGCCGCCGGCTTCCTCCCCCGGACTTGCTTCCTCTGGTCTACAAGGAAACAGAAGATGGCCATTCTCCCGAAGTAGATAGATAGATTGCCTTGAAGATATGTTGGATGGGTGTTGAAGGGGCAGTGTCTTAAATAGCAGTCTTGGAGTTTCGGATTGCTGCCGCGTGTCACACGCAGATACAGTTGGCTCATCTCATTCTGTCTCCCATTTTGACTTTCTTCTCTTCCAGAGTATTGAANTAGTATATGACATTGACTGAATTATTATCACCACTTNNGNAACATCTTCTTATTTATCACTCTCAACTGCTTGGCTATTTAATAGTACCACAGAAGCCCATTTCCCCATTAACTTAGCCATTGACTTTTGGTTATTATTTACTGTATTTTATAGTAACAAACTGATATCATCACTGCCTTCTCTTGTGAGGGTTTGATGCTTACGTTACAATTTCAGATTTTGGGGATCATTGCAGATAATAATAGTCTTTCAAAGATGATAAACAAACAAAAAAAGAAGTCTTTCATTTTAGTTAAATGAAATAAGAGGAGGGTAAATGTAGGTGGAAAAAAAACAAACAAACAAAAAGTGAGTGGCGGAGTAAGCAATTCCTTCCCTCCCTCCCGGATCTGTATGTATGTAATCTGGAAAAACAAAAATGGTGGATCTAGCCAGGTTTAAGTGGTTATAGAGCTGCCATCATCGCTCGTCTTGTCGCCTCCTGCTTCATCTCGGCTGCTTTCCCGCTCCCTCTGAAGTACATGTACACTTGCTGTTTCACAAACACACAACTTGTTAACCAGTTTTAAAACCAATTACTACAGTTGATGCAGCGACAAGAGATGGAACCTGAATAACCCAGATGCTCACGAGCGACTCCACGCAGAAGAACCCAAACCCAATCAAGTAGAATATCTGTCACATTTTTTTTCTTCAGTTAGCTCACTCAACAACTGAAGATATTGACTGACCACAACTAAGCTCTCAACTTACCCCGACCAAGATATTCCCACTCAACACGTCTATTGCCGGCAATATTCCTCTGCATTACACAACATATCATCATTCCCCATCAGC